GTCCAGGTACTCGGCGCTGGCGAAAGCGGGACCATTGTCGGACACAAATATGTCCGGCAATCCCTGGCTGCGAAGACTTGCCGCAGCGCTGCAATGGTCGCGCTTGCCGAGGGACTGGTGACTGGCATTGCCTCCACCCACTTGGAGAAGGCGTCCACTACCACCAGGAAGTAGTGGCCCTTGAAGGGTCCCGCATAGTCCACGTGCAAGCGGGACCACGGCCTCTGTGGGAACGGCCAGGGGGTGATCTCCACGTGGCACGAGGCTCGCTGGTTCTCCTGGCAGACCTGGCAGCCTTGCACCTGATGCACGATGTCCTGGTCCAGGCCAGGCCACCAAACGTGCGACCGTGCCACCATTTTGGTCTTTTCAATGCCAGGATGCCCCGCGTGCAGCAGCTGCAGCACCTTGGCCCGCAGACTTTGTGGAATCACCACCCTGGAACCCCACAGGAGGCAGCCTTGCTCCAAGCTCAGCTCGGCGGTCTTGTGGCTGTATGCCTGGTGACGCAGCTCCTCCCCTCGGGCAACCGCTTTGACCACCTGAGACAGGACCGGGTCCCGGCTGGTCGCCTGCGCCACCGCAGTCCTGGTAAGCACCCCCGGGTAGTCCCGCTCCAGCAGGAACACATCGGCTGGCTCTGGAACGGCAGCAGGCACCTCCGGCAGGGGCAGGCGGCTCAGGGTGTTGGCAGGTCCTAGGTCCTTCCCAGGGCGGTAGACCAGCTTGTACCTGTAGGCTGCCAGCGTCAAGGCCCAGCGTACCACACGAGGAGAGGCCTGCACTGGAACTGCCTTGTCAGGTCCCAGCAGCCCCAGCAGCGGCTTGTGGTCCGTTACCGCCTCGAGTTGCCGGCCCCACAGGTACTGATGGAAGCGCTGGACCCTGAACATGAGGGCCAAGCCTTCCTTGTCGAGCTGACTGTAGCGTTGCTCTGCCGCATGTAGTCGACGAGAAGCAAACGCCACAGGGCATTCCTGACCATCCTGACCCCGGTGCGACAGGACGGCTCCTACCCCGTACGGCGACGCATCCACGATGAGGACTACAGGCTTGGCCGGGTCGAAGTGCACCAGCACTGGAGCCTTAACGACGAGCTCCTTGCTGCGCTGGAAGGCCAAGTCCTGCTCTTTCTTCCAGGCCCACTGCTGACAGTCACGAAGCAGTCGATGCAGCGGCTCCAGATGCGTCGAAAGGTTGGGCAGGAACCTCCTGTAGAAGTTGATGAGGCCAAGATAGCTCTGAAGCTCCTTCTTGCTCTTGGGCTTCGGCGCCTTGAGCACGGCCTCAATCTTGCGGGGAGCCGGGGCCAGGCCAGCCTGGGAGATGATGTGTCCCAGGTACTCCACGCTGGGGGTCAGGAACATGCACTTGTCCAGCCTCAGCTTGAGACCGGCGTCCTGTAGTCGTGTCAGGACTTTGCGCAGGTTCTGCAGGTGGTCCCCGTCGTCGGTACCGGTAACCAGGATGTCGTCCAAGTACACCGCCACGTGCCTCATGCCCCTGAAGAGGTTGTCCATCTCTCTCTGGAAGATGGCTGGGGCTGAGGCCATGCCGAAGGGTAGGCGCGTGTACTGGAAGAGTCCCATGGTTGTTGAAATGGTGACATACTTCCGGGCGGCATCCTGGAGCACCAGCTGCTGGTAGGCATCTCGAAGGTTGAGCTTGGAGAACTTCGGTCCCCCGGACAGAGCCGACCAGAGATCTTCTACCCGAGGCAGCGGGTACTTCTCGACGGTAGCGACGGGGTTGATGGTGACCTTGAAGTCCCCGCAGATCCTGATGCGGCCGTCTCGCTTGAGGACTGGAACAATCGGTGCAGCCCACTCGGAAGACTTGACGGGCACCAGGATTCCCTTTCACTGCAGCCGTTGCAGCTCCTGGGTGACCCCGTCCTTCAGGGCCAACGGCAGCGGACACGGCTTGAAGAACCGAGGCCGGGTTCCCTCGGGAACGTGGATGCCGACCGTCGTGCCGGCGAAGGTGCCCACCCCTGGCTGGAACAGGGACTGGAAGTCGGTCAGGAGGCTCAGGACGTCCTTCATTACGTGCAGCGCAGCTTCTTGGTACTCCGGCAACCGAACACCCAGCGAGTGAATTCAGTTCCGGCCCAGCAGCGTCGGCGACGACCCCTTGGTTAAGTAAAGGGGAAGGATTGCCTCCCTGTCGCCAAGGCGAACGCTGACTTGGGCCCGACCCTGGACCTGAAAAGCTGCCCGGAGTAGCTGCGCAGCATGACGTCCGACGCCTCGATGGACACGCCGGGGAAGGTCCGCTTGAACAGCTTCCCGGGCATGACCGACACGCTGGCCCCTGTGTCCAGCTCCATGGTGATGGGGTGGCCGCAGATTTCGACAGACACCAAGTAAGGTGGCACAGACGATGAAAGTCTGTTGCTGTGCCACACGTCGAATATCTGCGGGTCCTCGGCCACGACGTGGACCCTGGCTGAAGACGAACCCTGGCCTGGTGCCGCTCGTCCCCGCCGCGTTCTTTTGCGACGACCACCCTGGCCGCGGGCTTGGCTGGAACCCAGGCTTGAACCAGGCTGCTGCTGCTGCTGCTGCTGGCCGCCGCTCGTCCTCTCCCCTCGGCAGACACGTGCGAGGTGCCCAGTTCTCCCGCACGTAAAGCATTGTGCTTGGACGAACTGGCACTGTGAGGGGGAGTGGGCAGCACCGCAGCGGCTGCAGGCACCGCTCCTTGCCGCCATCTTGTTCACCGCCGCTTCCGTCGACGGTGAAACGGCCGCACGCGCTATCTCGCTGGCGTCCTTCGCTGCTGTTTCCATCACCAGCGCTGCCTTCACCGCGTCGTCCAGCGAGGGGTCGGGGAGCTCCAGGAGTCGCGTCTGCATGGCAGGGTTGTTGATGCCGCAGACGAACCGGTCCCAAAGTAGCGAGTCCAACTGGTCGCCGAAGGCGCAGGTGCTTGCTAACCCTCGTAGCGCAGCGACAAACTGCCCGCGGGTCTCCCCGTCCTGGCGGCTCCGGTTGTTGAAGCGGAACTGCTCCATAAGCGTGGACGGCGCCGGGCTGAAGTGCGAGCGCAGCGTGGCGAGCAGCTCACCCAGCGTTTTGACGTGCGGCGTGGCCGGCTTGAGGTGGTCGAGCAGGAGGCTGAAGACGCGGGTCCCGCAGCTGGCCAAGAAGATGTCCCGTTGTTTTGCCTCGGGCGTGTTGTTCGCCCGGAAGAACACGTGGACCTGTTCTTCGTAGACTGGCCAGGCGGACCCATCTCCCTCGAACGGCTCGAGCCTCCCGTAGAGTGGCATGGCGACAGGAGCGGGGTGCGGTGTTGCGACTCTCTCGGCGGCTTGGGCCGAACCGTGCACGTTGGGGGCCTCCAGTGCTACGGTTCCTCGTCGCCAGTGTCACAATCTTTCTAGAACGTGGACGAAGGGGGCCGAAGCACCCGCCGAGAAGAGACGACACGCAGCCTGGTTGTGAGGGTGGACGATGACTGACCGGAGCGGCGTACGCTCAGCGGCGTTTATTGGTGCGGTGACCAATGTTGCCCGCCGAGCCAGGCGGCCACAGACGGGCGGACGGGAGGGGGGCGCTACATACTTGTTACTGCAGCACTTTCCTTCTGATACTTTGTTTATAACTTTATCCAAGCGTCTTCGCGATTTATCGAACCATTAGCATGCTCACTGTTTTCTCTTCTGTGTGGTTCAGAGTTGTGAAGAACCAGTGCAGTTCTGAAATGTATACTTTTTCTTTTTCTACAAAATATGGGTGACATTCAAGGATTAGGAGTTGGTTTGACAGGAGCCTATAGTACAATGCAAGGGAATGGATGTGCCGAGACACAGCCAGTCTGCTTTCATAAACACGCGGGGGTTTACACAAAGATGCCACGACAACCGCCACCACCGCCGTCATCGTCAGCGAGGGTACAGAAAAACTGCTTGCCACAGGCAGGTATTTGACTCCGCACGTATCGTGTTCAAAGTATTGTTACGGTCCGTATGGAAGTTTAATAGTATTGACATTTGTGAACGTAAAAGCTGGGAAAACATATAAATCGAGAACACATCTATAAGGTTCTACCTTACGACACACGTCTGGTACGTGACAGGAAAATGAACCGCAGGTTTTCCACGTTTGCTTTTTCTCAATAAACTTTGATCCTTTCGGTAACCAGGTAATATTCTATGGAGTGTTCACTCAATCAATTTCTTTGAGGCCAATGTCACACACACCCTCGCACACATTTCAGTTGATAAGGTCACCGGCGGGACGAGAAAGGCGGGGAGGTTTTTTGACTTCTTCCGCCTCTAGCTTCCTACTTTGTATAATGTTTTGGTGTCCCGTGAGCCTCGAGCGCGCACGTGCAGCCAAAGCACGTTGCAAGGCAAGGAGCGCATGTGGGAGGCCTCTTTAAAGAGGCGGCCTGCTGCCCTCATTCTGTCGACAACTGTAGTGGAAGAACTGCGGAAAAAAGAAATATGAAAGACGTTTACAAATCTTTGTAATGCAAAAATAGAGCACAGCTCTTGAGGAGGAGGAGGGGAGGATACGAGGGGGAGGATATGCTTCTCCTCCTCTATACCCTCCCATTGTCCTCCTCCTAGCCTCCTCCTCTCCTGTTCCTTCTCCTTCTCTCCCCTGCTCCTCCTCCTGCCGCTTAATTTGTTCATGGGTGACGGGACACGAAGTCATGACATCATTTTTCCCGCTAAATTTAGCGGGGAAACTGAATTGGTGTCAAGGTGACGTGACGTCAATTTTCCCGCTATATTTAAAGGTAAAACTACCCCGTTAAATTTAGCGGGAAAATTAACCCGCTAAATTTATCGGAAAAATTTTCCCGCTATATTTAAGGGGAAATTTTTGTGCTTAACTTAGCGGAGAAATTTCCTCTGATAACTTTAGTGGGATGCGTTTCAAAATGCAACATGTGTGGTTACGCCGAAGGCGATGCCGCTGAGCCCGGAAGCGGGCGCCTAAGAGCTGTGCTCTAAAGTCTTTTTGTTCTCATCCGTGTTTGTGCAGGAGACGTCAAGAAAAGATCCAGCGTTTCGAACAGCAGAAGGCCATGGAGGAAAGGCAGACGCAGCTCAGGGAATTGCTCCAGAACCCCAACGTGGACGACGAGCTAGTGGTGCGTTGCTTTCTCGATCGTCCCGTGCTGCTCCATACGTACGGCGCGAACCCGACGGCGCATTGGCACTTTGAAGGGACGCCATAAATCAGCTTCTCGGTGTACCGTGCCACGATTTACTGCGGAGGTGTGCGTTGGCTTTTCATTCGTTATGTGCAAGTACAAAAACACCGTAAAATACTGGGCAAGCGCCCACTCTAGATTTAGAGATAATCGCAAAAATATGGGGATGGGCACTGTCCGGTCATCAATTTTACATATCAATGTGCTGTGCATATTTTCTCAGATCTTAGAAATTTGGGAATGGGCGCTTATTGTGGTATGGGCGGATGCATGGTATTCTACAGTATGAACTCCTCTGGATAAAAAAAAAAAAAAAAAAAAAAGAGAGGAAAACATTTTTTTATGGTTGAATGCCCAGCTAAGCCCTTTTTTTTTAAATGCATTATTAAATGTTTTAGCATTTGAAAATGCATTTGAACGGTCGTGGTTTGGACTAGATTGGTTTTGTGACGTTGCAGCGCAGTTTCCGCCGTGCTCCTTCGCTTCATTCTTGTTACATGCACCTTCCCTCTTACGTAAAAGGGGAACAGTCTTGCATGCTTCCAAGGACCAGTCGCCGTTGGTTCGTACTTCCCTTACGATTGCACCGGAGCGGAGGCACATGCTTTCGTTTTCCCTGTATGCACAACGTACACATCAACATAAAACCAGGGTGCAGCGGCGATGCCGTTTGCGCTTAACTGCCAGCACTCGGGAGGAAAGGTTGGCTGTTCGAGGACAACATTATGCGGGCCGTAGGTAGCGATCGAGGGAAGCTGTGATGGCTGCGTCTGAAACCGCCGACGCCCGGGAAAACGGACTGGCTCTCCGAAGACGACAGTGTGCGGACCGTTGAGAGACTGGAATTCCCGTCCCTCGCCGAGTTGAAACCTCTGCTCTAAATGCTAACGCATTTCGCCGAGAATCGGCGTAACCAAAGCAATGGTTTCGGCACATCCTTTTTTGCAAAATGATTAGGTAGTTTTGTGGTCCATTGTGGCCTTTATTACAACGAAAGAATGAGTGAAATGAAAATACAAGTGACTTACCTTTTATATTCGTCATTTTGCCAAAAAAATGACACAGTCAACCAACATGTCATTTTATAGTTTCACACACGAGTTAGCCGAGCCCATAAGTAAGAATGTTTTTTTTTTCATCAATTTTCAGGTGGACTCATGCTTCCATATTTTAACTAAACAATTGCATCACCTAAATAAACTCCTTTGTGGTAACTTACCTAACAATTTAGAAAAGAAGACTGATTTATGCAGTTTCTTGGGTTAATGTGCCTTTTGGCTTGAAGTAAATTCGGAAGACAAAATGAAGGAGTCATGTCAGCCTAGCTGGTTGTCACAAGACTGAGCGTTTATTCGTCGTCGTCGTTGTTTTGCCTTATTTTTCGGCGCGGCCGATCTTGATAGATCGGTGGTTTAGAGTAAAAGAAGAAAACAAAACAACTTCGGTCAGCCGCGTGAACCGCAGCGCGTGCAGCGTCATTCGCTCCCCAACACTCCTTTCCCCTTGTAGAAGAGACGTGATGGCGAGCGACGACTTCGCGTTGATCGTCGCGGAGTTGGAGACACGGATGTTGGTACCGCCTCAGGTGGGACGGTCTCGAGAGCGGGATCTGGCGCGGAAGCCGCCTCAGGTGGGACAGTCTCGGAAGAGGGTGCTGGCGCGGGAGGCTCAGTAGCTGCGTCACCGGGATCACGACGGCGAAGCTGGTCGGCGTGGCGCCGGTGGTCCTTGCCATCGCCTGGGGACTGAACTTGTACCAGGCGGGAACCAGTTGTTGCCTTTACGATTCCGGGGCTCCACTTGTCGCCAGGACCGTAGTTTCGGAACCACACTGGCTGACCTGGGCGAAAGGGACTAGCTTCCGATTGACTGCAAGGAGTGGGTAATGGAGGCAAGGCGGCGTCCAGACGTGAACGTATATCGTAGCCGAGTAAACGCTGAGATGGGGAACAACCGTCTTTGCCGGGTGTACGACGATACTCATGCAGAAAGCGCGCTAGTCGTGTCACCATACTGCCCCTGCTCAGCCGTTGGAGCCCTTCTTTTACAGTGCGGACGGCTCGCTCCGCGAGTCCGTTTGATTGGGGGAAATAAGGAGGCGAGAAAATGTGTCGGATATTGTTCCGCTCGCAAAATCGTTGGAACTCGGCGCTTACGAACTGGGGCCCATTATCGGAGACCACAGTCCGTGGTATTCCGAATCGGCTGAAGATAGAGCGTAACGCGGACGTGGTTGCTTCCCCTGACGTGCACTTGAGTGGAACTGCTTCAATCCACTTGCTATGAGAGTCAACGAGAACTAACAACATGAACCCGTCTATTGGGCCGGCGAAGTCCACGTGCACTCTCGACCATTTTTCGTTCGTCTCCGGCCATGGCACAGGATCTCTGGCCGGTGGGGCTGGAGAAACTTGGGCACATTTCGTGCACTGACTGACCATACGCTCCAGATCTTGGTCAATGCCGGGGTACCATATAATGGACCGAGCTAACGCCTTCATGGCCGATGCGGCGCGGTGGCTTTCATGCAGGAGAGCAAGTACAGTCTTCCGAGCCCTCTGGGGTATTACGACTCGAGATCCCCAATATACCAAGCCGTGCGAGGTGGTTAGTTCGCTCCGCCTTTCCAGGAATGGCTTTAGGGTTAATTTCCCGTTATGATTCTTCTGAGGCCAGGACCCACTTTGAACCCACTTTTGGACCTGCCTTAAGTCATTGTCTTCAGCCGTCAGCCGCTGCAGGTCTGCCGTTGAAACGAAGTTTTCATCGAGCTGCTCCATCAGCAGAACATACTCCGACAGCTCCTCGGTTGATGATTCACCTTCCCTTGAGCACGGCAGCCGGCTGAGAGCATCTGCATTCAGGTTCTCAGTTCCTTTTCGGTACACCAGACCGAATGAATAAGCCCGCAGTAACAACGACCAACGCTGTATGCGAGCGGCGGCCATCGATGGGATTGGCCGATCCGGACGAAAAAGGCCAATCAACGGCTTGTGATCGGTGACCAACGTGAAATGGCGGCCCAGCAAGTACTGCCGGAACTTCGTTACTCCAAAAACCAGAGCTAAAGCCTCCCTTTCGAGATGAGCGTAATTACGCTCGGCTACGGATAGCGTACGTGAACGAAACCCGATCGGTCGATACTCGCTTCCAACCTTAATGGACAATACCGCCCCAATGCCATAAGGCGAGGCGTCACACTCCACTCTTAGAGGCTTGCTGGGGTCAAAGTGAGCCAGAAAATTTGCGTTTTTCAAAGCTGCTTTGCTACCTTCGAAAGCCTTGTCGGCGGCGCTAGACCACTGCCACTTTTGGCCTTTCACTAGCAGTGCATAAAGCGGAGCCAACAGGGTCGACATGTTCGGCAGGAACTTGCTGTAATACGTTATGAGACCGAGGTATGACCTCAGTTCCGAAACGTTCTGCGGTCTAGGGGCTTGCATGATTGCTTCCATGTTCTCTTCCTTGGGATGAAGACCTGCGGCATCTATTTTGTGACCCAGGTAATTGACCTCCTTCTGACGGAACTTACATTTGTCCCTGTTCAACCTGACCCCGTGCTCCCGCAGCCTTTGTAGCACTTGCCGCAGCGTTGATTCGCCATGTTTCTCGGCTACCAGTACGTCATCCAGGTAAACTTGTACTCCATGGAGATCTTTCAAAATGGACTCGATTCTGCGCTGGAAGACGGCCGGTGCGGATGCGATGCCGAATGGCAATCTATTGTAGCAAAACAACCCCTTGTGCGTGTTGATCACGGCCAACTGTCTCGCGTCTTCGTCAAGGCAAAGCTGGTGATACGCGTTTTTCAAATCCAACGTGCTGAAGACCTCACCACCACAAAGAGATGCAAATATGTCTTCGATAACAGGCAATGGGTACTGTTCGGTATGGCATGCCGCATTTACCGTGAGCTTGAAATCCCCACAGATTCTGATGTCACCACCCTTTTTAACGACCGGCACTATCGGGGCAGCCCAAGCAGAATAGGGCACGGCAGATAACACGCCCTCGGCCACTAAGCGATCCAACTCATTGGATACCTTATCGCGTAGGGCGTAAGGTACAGGCCTTGCTCTCGCGAACCTGGGTTGCGCGTCTGGGCGTACGAGCAGACTCACCGGCGGGCCTTCCACGGTTCCAAGTCCAGGCTCAAACAAATCCGCGAACTCCTCGAGTAGCTTTTGGAGGTTCCGATCGTCCATTGGTGCTCCGGGTCCGGCGGCAGGAGTGGAGGTAGGCGTCTTAGCGCCTGAAAGACTGAGGACAGGAACTCCTCGAGCATTCATGTCAGTAATCAGGTCCCGGCCACACAAAGAAGGACCTGAACAGCCGAGCACAATAAGACTACCCTCTGTAGTCTTGTCCTGGTACTTCACGCGCATGTTCAGCTCGCCTAACACGGGCAATGTTCCAAGGAAACACGACAAACGAACAGACGTTTTCTGAAGTTTCGGCCACGAGTTTCGGTACTTGTGGTAGACGTCTTGGGGAATTGCGCTCACGGGAGACCCTGTGTCCACGAGCATCTTGAGGGGCACGCCGGCCCAAACAAACTTTCGCATTACTGGTTCTACTAAACCAACCAAATTGTCAGACCTAGCGTGGGAACATTGGAGTGTAAACAAGCTTCCTTCCTCGCCTGATAAGCTGTCGCTGCATTCGACGGCGTTCATTCCAGGTTCGTGGTTGGCTTTGAATCCACGGCCCCCTTTCCTGGGAGTAGTAAGGTCTCGGCAGCACCTGGCAATGTGCCCAACCCGACCACAGTGATGACACGAGGCTCTCTTAAATTTGCACGATTCCGCGTCGTGCGTGGAGCTTCCGCAGCGTGAGCAGGCTAGCGTCGTACGCCTCCGGGAGCTTTGAGGAAGTGGCGATCGGTGATGTGGGCCTTGTGTAACCGCGTTGATATCGGACTCCGGCGTCGGCTTCAT